TGGACAACAATGAAGAAATCGCACGAAAAAAAGGCCTATGAAATTCCCTCCTTCCGCTCCTGTGCTAGGGAAACTCGACGACAGGATGCAACAACTGGATCAGACAATAATAGCAACGACTCTCCTTCCGCTCCTTCTGCGTTTGGGAAACACAATGACAGGATCACACAACACAAAGACCCTGCTTCGTTGCATTTGTAGCCAAAGCTGACTTCCGTCTCTTTTTCCCTTCGCTTCAAGCTCAGTGCTAGGGCTCTGATACCATTTTAAAAGTAATTGCTCTTCAAATCTTACCCATTTCATTAATGACTTGGGCTTATATAGAGCTTTACAACATTTATTAATAAATTCATATACTTCTTCTATTTACAAATAGGACCCAACATTAGATACAAATCTCAACAGATATTCCACTAAGCTTTCATCACCATGGATGTCATTTTATAAAAATTCAATTCTTGTATTGGACAAGGTAATAATACCTACCCATAACTAAACATGGTTAGAAATATCAGAATTTCAAACCATGTTGTGGATTATTGATTTTCAGTATTTCATTATATGTTAAATGACATCAATGGTTGGAGAGAAGCTTCTTTTGGGCATCTTCAAAATGTGATTTTTTGGAGAGAGTTTCCTTCTCATTATCACTTCGCTAACATGCCCACATGGAGGCTAAGAATGATGGTTCACAATTTATTTTTTATGTGTAAGTTAATTTTAGTGATCATATCTATTAAAATGTGGTGGCTATAAAAAAATATTGCTGATGTAACTTTTTAAAAAGAATAAATATTTATAGTTCTTATTGTAGCTTTCTAAGAAATAACTTTCCTCCCCAAAACCTTACAATCACTTTTATAACACGCAACAGCCACCCCCTAAGAGACCTTACATTGGTGCCTTATTTTATCTAAATTGGGTGTAATTTCAGATAATGCTGTTTTTAATGATTTCTAAATCGGCATGTTTGGATACGAAGCATGTCATAGGCCCATGAAATATTTATCTTGGCATGCCCTTGCCAAGTACTATTGTAGTTGACTTCTATTATTATTGTATGTGCAAAGGGCACAATGAAGCTAATACATGTTACAGGTTTTTCTTTCATATAGCATTCAACAAGTTACTCATTAAAGCTTTATTTACTGCAACTTGATGACTATTTCCCGTCTGAACTAGAGTTTTAGAGCTCATTTCTATAAAAGGACTACTACATTTAATGGTAGGTCGGTCATTACTGCGGCAAATGATCTTTCATCTCTCACTCTGTGGCATAGCATGGATTACATTTTTTTGTGTTTCGTTTACTCTGGCAGGGAGTTAAGATAGTGAGAGTGACAGAGCAGGAGTTCCCCGACTTACACAAGTGTGTAGCTTTTATTTGTGATTGCACACCCTCTTTGGAGAAATCAAATGTAAGCATTCACTTTTGCAAAATGTATTGAATATATTTTTTCAAATAAAATATATAAAATGATGTATAAAACATGCTAAACAAAAACATTAAGGGAAAAAGTAAAAGCAAACAGTGCGAACTAATGCACTTGAGTGAATTCAGCTGCATATTCTTGTTGCCGGCGCGCTTGGAGGAAGATTTGACCATGAAATGGGGAACATCAATGTGCTTTATCACTTCTCAAACATGCGCATTATTCTCCTATCGGATCACTGCTTGATTTATCTTCTTCCTAAAACTCATCGGCATAAAATCTACATCTAGTCTTCTGTTGAAGGACCATGCTGTGGTCTCATCCCGTTCGGTGCACCAGCTTCTTCTATTACTACCACCGGTCTCCAATGGGATCTTAGCAAGCATCCACACTACATTTCTTTTACATTTTTATTCCAAGTTTATATATTAATCCAGGAAGTTAAAGAAAACCGATTATTAAAGGTCTGTTTGGAGTGGCTGAAGAATTTTAGAAAGTTGATTGTAAAGCTGTGGTGGAGAAAGTTGTTGTGAGAATTATATATATAATTTAGACAACAACTTTCTTACAACCACCGCATTTTAACATGTCAGTTTGAAAAAAAAATGCTTCCAACCACAAAAATTTTAAGAAAACATCAAGAAAGCATTTCCCGAAATGGAGTTATAGCTGTGATTTGAAATGAAAAGCATGAAGAAAGCTGTCCCAAACAGACCCTAAATCAAATGGATGCTTAGTTTAATTTTTTTATTTTCCTTTTTTATGTCATTTTATTTATGTTTTGATTTAAATTAAATTATGTTTTTGATATAATTATTTTTAAGAAGTTTCAAAGTAATATTTTAGTATTTCTGAGTGTTTTTAAAAATAAAAAATAAATGGTCTGACCTCAAGAGCTTTCTCTGATATCAACAGCTGAAGGAAGCATGCATTTTGGTGGATTGGAGAGCACATCCAATTCAGTGCGAGAGGAGAAAATTACAGTGCATTCTGACTCAGATCTGTTGTGGACAATTAGCATCCGGAAACCAAGATGATGAACTCTTCTTATATGTTGAAACACAGCTTTCTCAATTTATCTACATTATTACATCATGTATTATTGATCGTCAGATTTTCTTGTTGAATTTATGATTATTCAGTTTATTGGCTGTAACTTTAAGAAGCTTAGATGTTTGCATATAGCTGTATTGATATCTAATAACTGTATAAATAATTGACTTAAAAGTAAATGACATAAGAGTCAAAATTGTCACCCGGAGACCATCTGATATGTCGAATTTAGATCCAAAACTCTTCAGAACTGATTTAAACTGGTTCTACTGCTCAAATATAAGAGAATTATGACTGAGAACTCGAATCGCACCTTATAATATCTCTTATTTTAAGCTGTCAAATGAGAGCCTCCATAAGTGGGAGTTCTTGTTTTGTGATCTAATAGCAATGCCAATTGAGAGAACCCAAAAGGGCAATTTGGCACCGGTTTGTTATAACTCATTTTGTTGCAGTGTCATCAATAAATTTTTATCGAGCATGAATTTTGATGTATTTTTTTATGAATGATCTTTCAAATTTAAATTTAAGATTACTTGAGTCTCGATTTCAACAAGCTTATATTCAAACTAATAGTCTAGGCAAGACGAACTTGATGATACCAAAATTGGTTCAATTTGGCCCAATCAAACCCAGATTAAACTATTAAGGCATATTTAGAGGCTTTGAATCTTCAATTGAATTGTTAAATGAACTCTAAATTTGACATATTTATAATCAAATTGAGTGTTTCGATGAGAGAAATATAACGAGCCTAAGATTGTTAAAATTTGAGTTCATTAATTCACTCAAATCATTAAAAAATCATCTATGATCAAGAAAGATTGATGGGGATCATCTGATCAAGTGATTAGAGAAGTTATGTGCCAAAAGACTTAGATGTTCCTCCCTAAAAGACTATAAATAGACTCTCTCTTCACTAGAGAAGAGGAGAAGAAGTGGAATTTCAAAGTTTGTCCTGAGAGAAAATCTGATAAATAACCATCGGCCTTCATGGGCGTCGACCACTGTTGATCACAACCCGTTGCCTACCATAAGCCACCATCGGTCGTCATTGCTTGCCATCAACTACCCCTGCTTGCAAATCATGTAGTCAAAATATGGTCGTTGTGTCTAACACATGTATTTTTTTTTTTTTTTTTGTAAAAAGACAAGCATAATACTTTGTTTAAAATTATAGCCCCGATTTCTCTGTTGCAAGGGAAAGGTGCACCCTTATACGTACAAACTCATAATGAATTATTTTAATTGGGCTAGACCCCGTAATTTTTATGTTCTATGTAAAAATTTTGTTGTCTTCTCTTGCTACTTATCTTTTATTTATATGCGTGTAATGGATCGTCATGCAGCACTAACTCATTAAAAAATTATTCCATCACCACTACATGAGCTTCTCACTTTAATAGTCACTATTTTATGACACATTCTTGAAGTTGTCTGTTGCCAAATTAGAATTTGTCAGTTGCTTTAAAAATAATTATAATTATATACACACACACACACACACACACACACACACACACACACACACACACACACACACACACACACACACATTCATAGATATATATATCACCCCGATCTCCCCGTTGCAAGAGAAGGGAACACCCATGTACTCATAGTGAATAAGTTTGACTTACTAAATCACGTGTTTTTTCTCTTCTAGAATTTTTCTACTTAAAAATTTTAGTATCGTTGATCTTGTTACTGCTCTTTTATTTTTGTGCATTGCATTTTCGTACATTGCTAAGACATTCAAATACTATTCCACCGCCGCGAAACTTATTCGTGTGTGTTGCAATCTGTACAATGCTAAAACATTAAAATATTACTACACCGCCTCAAATTTTCCGACACTTAGCAAAAACATATTTTGAAAATTGATGAAATTGATCAAACTCTTCAGTAACTTAGAAATAAAAAATATGTTTTAAAAAATGTTGATTATATATTTATTATTATTATTTTTTAGTGTGTAAATGAAATCATTATTTATGTCGGGAAATTTCACATACATATTACACCATTCCTATAAATTTACATATCCACATCTAAAATTTGATATTTAGAAATATCACACTTTGGTTAATAACGTATCCATGAAAATTTGTATTCAAAAAAATTAGCAATAGTAGTAATTTTTTATATGATCATAAAGAAATTGAGTGTTGCCCATATAAATACATGAGTTAGATGTCAGACATGTGAAAGCTTAAGAATTGTCCGGCATGCATGCAAATATCTCTCATTATTTTTACAATAATAAGAGAAATTTCGTGAGAATTTGAAAACAATATTAGTGTCCAACTATTTTCAACCAAAAGCTAGATTTAAGAAACTATATCACTTCTAAATTCATGATTTTTAACTTTGAAGCTAATACAATTACATTTTAATTTTCAAAAGAACTAATGAAATTTGAATATAAACGGAAAAAAAAACTACAATATGTTCCAACAGAGAGAAAAAAAATACTAATAGGTAACTTCTATGCATAATGAATGTACATATATGTTAAATCGTTCTGGGCTTGATCTCCAGTCTAGGCTCAAAGCAGAAACCAACGAAGGTTCTTAAATATGATCGTTTCTTTATTGGGTAGCTTTTTGACAATCTCCAATGCTTGTCTCTCATATCAAATATGAACAGAGTAGGGGTACCATAGGCATGGATGAAGATGAGATCCTCAACTCCACTACTATCAAAAGTATCTTCAAACCTGCCAAAATGGCTGAGAAACTTCTCCGGCATCCTTGTAACCTCCTTCTGTTCCTTTCTATGAAGCTCCCAAACACAAATTCCTTCTAGCACATCTGGTTTTTCTGGGTCTCTGATTTCTCCAATCAGAACCAATCTATCTTTAAGATTCATCAGGCGACCGCAAGCGAGGGGACTCGGTGCCATAACCATTGTTTCCATCAATGACTTGCATGAAGATTTTGAATCAATATCATACATGATGAGCCCAATACGGTGCCTGTTGCTCTCTGATAAAGAGTGAATCAGAAAGTAAAGGATTCCATTGCATATCACACTTTCATTACCTCCTCTCCATCCAACCAAAACTTCATTGAATGATACAACTCTCCAAAAGCAACTCTTAGAATCATAAATCTGAATGGTAAAGTCCCAATGAAAGAACTCATCTGGCAATGGATTGGATTTCACCAATGTAACTATATAATCATGAGAATGTCTGTCCACTGACAAAGCCAATGCACTGTATTGTGAAGGTTCATCATTTAGAGGTTTCAGAAGCTGCTTCCAATCTCTTGAAATTGGGTTGCAAAGAAAAATTCTGCTTTGATTATAGTAATCCATGCAGGAAACCAATCCGCATGATGACGAGATAAACCAGTTATAATTTTCATGTGAGAGGAAATCAAACCTGCACCAGTTCTTGAAGAGATCATAAATGTAGCCTGCATCGTTCTCGTTGGGCAACATGAAGTACCATGGCTTTTGGGGTGGCATGTTGATCCATACATACTTTCCGGACTTTGTCATCTCATGCCAATATTTGCCCACGCATCCTGCACTCATTTTATTGTTCAAAGACTTCGAAACCAGGTTCTTCAATTCTAACACAGTCCATCCTCTGCTATTATAATCTTATTAAGAGCGACACAAGTGAAATAAATATGATTGGTTTGGTATAAGACAAACTCAACCATCCACAAAAAAATGAGATGAAAATTCATATTAAAAAAATATTGTCATGGACCCAAAATTTATTTTCAAAACTATCACGTGTTATTTTCTTAAACTACTAAACTCGTATATTTATATGTGTTCTATTAAAAAACATTAAAATTTTGATAGAAATAACATGTCTTTATCATAAGTTTTGATGTTTGGATGAGAATTTGGTATTAGAATGCAATATGGTGGTAATTTTGTAAAGAGCAATGTTTGAAGTGTTGTATGTGTAGTTGCCCCACATCCATATCCACTCTATTAAAACAAAAAGCTTCACAAAATTGTTTTTACAATATATATTTTTTATCATCATGTATTATTATTGTTAGTATTTATTTATGCATATATGTTATAATTATTACTATTATTATTATTATTAGTTATTATCATTATTATTAATGCTTGGATTTTAACAATATCTATATTATTATTATCTCGTTTACGTGAATCAGGTGGTATGTATGTCTCTCTCTCCATCTCTCTGTTTCGCGTGTACATTCGCAAAGAAGAAAAATATACGTGGAGGAGCTTACATGAACGGTGGTTTGTCGGAGGGACGGAGGTTCGCCGGAGAAAAGCTCGCCGGAGGCAGGCTTGCCAGCGGGACTAGGACTCGACGTAGGGAGAAGCAAAGGTGCAAAGGAGGAAGGAGGAGGGCTCGGTTGAAGTGGAGGAGGAGTTATTCCATGCGGATCGTTCACCGCACGCAGCTTGCGTGCCGTGTCCGATCCGGACCGTAGATCACCTGATCTACCGTCCCGATGTATTGCGGTGGGTCCCACCGAAAAAAAAATTTTTTTTAAAAAAAAAAGTGAAAATAATCCTGACCGTAGATCACCGAGATCTACGGTCAGGATCGGATGCATGCGGTATCCGCACACAATAATTCCCCCTGTTTGATGCTTTTATAGGGGAAGGAGAGGGAGACGTGAGTTCGTGACAGAAAATGAAAAGAGAAAATATCGGAGAGAGGGAGGCGGAAGCGTGGGGAGAGAATAGGATTAGAAAATTTTTTTTTTAATAGGTAGAATAGGATTTTTTTTATTTTTATTATATATAAATATATATATATATATATTATGCTGCATGTCGCATGAGGTCAGATAGGATAGGGGAGGGAGCTTTTTTTATAACATAAAAATAATAATAATTATTATTATTATTCAATTAGACGCTCCCGTGCATTTTTCGTCGAACACGTTATCGCGGTGAAATGAATGTCCCCCCATGTAAAATCGACGTTCCATACGTGTTGGTGTTTTAAAAGCAACATGAGCAGAGAATGATGTGTTACTCACGTCACGCAGGCTCATGGTAGTGTGATACAGTTCTACACTTGTCGCAGGGGCGTTTCAGCTCGTTGCAATTTCTTATGTTAGGCCAATTGAAATAATACATTCTAATAATTGCTTTTGGACATGCTGGGTAACAAAGACATCCAAATGTATTTTGTCTCATGATAATACTATTTTTGCTGAACATCTTTAATTTCAAGAATCAAATATTATATTTTAAAATAACTAAATTATTTGATAATGCAATTAAATATTAAAAATAGATAAAAATACACAATATAATAAATAATAGACATTCACGATATTTTTTTTCCTTAACTAAATTATTTGTAATATTACATAATTTTATTTTATATTTCAATAATTTAATCATATTAATGTAAACAAAATCACACATAACAAGCGGCAACGTTAACCTAGAAAACCAGAAACTCTCAAAGAGCAAAAGTGAGCTTCAACTTTACCAGCAACTACTCTATAAGTTGAGCAACATGCAAACAAAAAATGTTCATCACAAATACCTTCACATCATAGTCTCTATGTAACAAATAATATTCTATATATAAAACAAGAAACAAAACAACAAAAAGAAAAACTAATCAAAACAAATCTAAAACAAAAAGGGTTAAGAGAAATTGAGTTCAGAATTTATCTGCACAATTATTAAATTTTTTCCAGAAACCAATGAATATAAATATTTAAAAAAATGCTTGAATTTTAATATAAGAATGAAAATCATCACAACTGGACTAATTTGAAACTTTAAAAAAAAATCAAGTATAAATATGTTTTTATTTAAAATATATATTATCAAAACAGATCAAAACTAACAAAAAAAATTGCTGTCACAACAAGCATATCACTACTTATAGTCAAAATATAGTCATAATGTCACAAATCAACCAACACCTAAATAAGCTCCATCATAATATAACAAATCATCTCAATCAACCAAATCTGAGCATGAACCAACCAAACATTCAAGCAGATACAAATAAAAAAAGAGCAGAGTAAGAATTGCAAAGAATGAAAGGAAAAAATGAATTCTAAGCTCATAAAGAAGAAAAAGAACTCTAAACATAAGCATCCTTCAAATAAAAGAACCACAAAAAAAAGGAAGTAACAACAAACTATAAAAATGCCTCAATAAAGTTTGGAAGATCATTCTTAATTTAAGTTATTGCTTTTATGTTTGATTTCCAAAGATCTCGTTAGAAATAATCTCATGAGAAGTATTTGAATCATTAAAAATTCTGTTGTTTCTTTTGAACCAATTTCATAAGCAATAGCTAAAAGGGTGAATCTCTCGTGAATTTTACAACCAATATTCAGAGTATGGTAAGAAATTTGAAAAAATGCACTAGCAACGATTAAAAAATCTCAATACGAATACAATTTAGTCCAAGATTAATATCCATTGAGTTAAGAATCTCCACTAGTTTTAAGACCAGTCTTAAATACTCTTTAAAAAAATAAAATTAAGAAACGAATATGCATGACACCCAAAACATTCCTATTTAACAAATCAAGCCCCATCTTTCATCCAATTTTCAAATTCTCATACTCATATATCAAAAGTCATTACAAAATCCCAACACATATTTTTCATTTTCATCAGAACATTCAAAATGTTTTTTGATCGTGACACACATAAATGCACATATTTCATAATTTAAAAAATCATCTAAATATTTGATTTATAAATAACAATGTTTCTTCCACTCTGTATGTAACTATACCAAAACTAAATTAACAGAATAATATTTATATCAAATTAATTAATGTATTCCAATCTCATATTATTACAATTCTATAAAAAAAAATCGATAAATATTTTATTGTGATAATTATTAGAATTCGACTGATATTTTTGAAAAATTATTTTGTCAGGACTCCTAATGTAAAAAAATCATTTGAAGTCCAATGAAATCAAGTCACGTGGCGGTGACAAAAAAAAAATCTGTCCGGTAACACAAATGAATATTTCTCTCGTGTTATTCATGTGTTATTGTGTATTATTCAAATATTATTGATGTGTTATTTTGTTATTATAACACAAATATTCTCATAACACAAACACAATAACACCTGAATAACATACATAACATATGAATAATACGGAATAACACGGGAGGAATATTCCTCTGGGTTACAGAACTGATTCTTATTTTTTATTTCAACACCACGTGACATGATTTCATTCGATCCGGACAGTATTTTTCAATATTTTTACTCCACTTTGCAGGCATAAAGCACAAAGCAGAACTCCGGCGGTCCGACACCACGAAAACCCCGCTCATGATTCTCTGCAACAACCTTTTCCGCCTCCTCACCGGACCAACTCCCATCACTTCCGATCATCTTCCCTTTCTCCGTCGCCGCCTCCTCCTCCACCACCATCTCCTCCCCTGGCTTAAATATAAACAACGCTTGCCCCAACCCCTCCGCCTTGAAAAACCAATCATGCACATCCCAAAACACCTGCACCGGCAAACCCTCCACCATCACCTTCTTATTCCCCCTAAACTTCCACTGCAAATTACTCACATGGATCGCCACAACCCCATCAACACTTATCCACATTTCCGCATCCATCCCGCTCCCCGTCGATATCAAATTCTCCACCACAATATCATGCTCCTTTTTCCCCTCTTCAAACCTAACCCTAGTCGGGAAAGACCTTTTCCCAAACAAATTTTCCCTCTTTGATAGCATCGTCGCATCGTCCAGCGACGGCCTTGCCTTGGTTCGCTTATAGGCTTTCTTCTTCAAGTCACCGAGAAGGAGGACGACCTCCTCGCCGCTGACAAGAGCGACGTAGTAGCAGCTGATGGGCTCCGGTCGGCCCCCGGTGGAGAATTTGGCGGCGCGAAGGTCCCAATAAATCTCGATTTGGTGGCCGCAGACGTCTAGGGATTTGAATCCCTTCTTGATCCAGAAGGGCCAGGGTTTGATATCAATTTTGCAGGTGGATGCAGGCTCGAAACTGCAGTCTGGGCGGTCGACGACGATGGAGAGGGAGTGGCTAATGAGGGTTTTGTTCCACATTACCGTCACGATGCGGGGATTGCCTCCAATCTTGGCTCTGTAAACTATGATTACAGAGCATTGCCCCACTGTTTTGGTGGCGGCGGCTCCGCCCACCATGGATTCCTCTGGATTATTGCATCCGAGGATTGGAGAGGTATGTTTTGTTTCCTCCATTTGTCATTCCAGTCACCCCGGCTTCCACAACACTGCTGCAACCTTGCGATTTTAATGAACGGGTTCGAATTCAAAAGAGGAAAATTTCCTTTGATTGACATTTGATTTGATGGAATTGAAGATTGATGAAGCAAGCAATAAAAAATCGAGTAAACAAATGAATATTTACAGAAAATTTGATTTATTGAGTAAAAAAAAAAAAGCTTACCCGTTAATGGTGGTGGGGAAGAAGATGAGCGATCCGACTGCTGTTTCTGTAGGAGAAAATGATTAAGATGTGATGAACGGATTCCAAGTAAAAGAAACATTAAAAAAAGACAGAAAAACATGGAGAGAGAGAGAGGGACAAGGAAATGTGAAGTTCGTTACTTTCATGCCGGGATTTTTGTTTTTTGTTTTTTGAAATTACAATTTTGTCCACTAATGAGAGTGGATTAGGGTTAATACGGTACGCGAAATGTGTTAAGCTAATCTATTTTTGGGAGAAGGGGGGCCCAAGACCTAAGGGTATTATAGTTATTTACGCTAATTCGGCCTACAATTGAGTGGCACCGTTCTTGTTGTTTTAATTTTGGGGCTTTTACAAACAAGCATCTAAAACATAAGTTTTTACATCTTAAGACATCTAAACTCTAATATTCATAAATTGACCATCCAAATTTTATACTTTTCTCCTATTTGCTATTCTCCATTAACGCCGTTCCCTCGCCTCGGTCCTCTCATTCATCTCAATCGTTCGTTTGCCACATCATTCTAGAGAATACGAGAGTTACGTTCAGACGACGAAAGCGATACACTGATTTTATCGCATCCTTCACATATAGGGAAACAGAGAGGACATTGGGGGGTTATATCCGCTTTATACCCCATGTAACCTCCCTGTAACCTACCTGTAACCTGTAGTCGTTCTCTCCCCTCTGGATTTCTTCTTCGGATAGAGGCAAGAAATGCTTGGGGATGGAAGGCTAGGAGACTTCCGCGAATTGATATGTTTGCAATTTTGCTGCTCAGCCAGCTCCCCGACTCATCCATCGTCGTCACTTTCCGAAGAGTATCTCATAAAAGGCATATTAGAGGAGGCGTGAGAGATGATGAAGCGATGATCAAGGGTGGCAACAATGAGCGGCTACAAGTTTTAGGTGTTTATTTTGTAGGTATTAAAGTTAAGGTATGAGATGTAAATGTTATGCGAAAATAATGTGGAACTGACTAAAATCACGCAACAATAGTTAGCCTTTCAAAAGAAAAAATTATTCTGTGCGGACATCAGATCTCTGCCGTCCATCACAGCTTTGGTGGGACCCAGTTTAAAAAAAAAATTTATATAAAAAAAAGTCCAACCGAAGCCGTGATGGACGGTGGAGATCGGACACCGCATGCAAAGAACGGTGTCCGCACCGATTAATATTTCCAGTTTGTATGGCTTAAAATTAGAAATAGTGTTTGTAATACAAGTAAATCGATTAAATTCAGTTTTTTTTTTTGTGGCTTGAAGCTCCATACACGCTTAGAAGCAGGTGTAAGAACTTGAAAATGGAAGGTAATAAAAATGGTGGTTTAACTGCCACATAAACCACCATTTAACTTATAGCATTGTGGTGGTTTATGTTACAAGGACTTTACATTGCGGTTTAAAATCCGCTGGAGAAAATCACGAGCTTTTAGCAAAATGATTTCAAATTTCATATAATTTATTCACCTTAAAAATGTAGTAGCAGAAGTTTTTTTGTTTTTTAAAGGGAAAAAATGGGTTTTGTGACCTTAAAATACATATATAAAAATTTTATTTATAATAATTTCAATATAACATAAATTTCCTTTCATTATAGATAATTTCTTTTATTAAAAAAATATATTTTCTTTGATAATAACTAATTTTTCTTTATTAGAAATAATTTTTTTTCCTCACTGTTCATTAAGTTATTGCTATCATTAAGTTATTACTAAGTAAATATGTGCCGCGTAACCCTGGCAATTGGTTGACATCAACGGTATAAGACCCTTTAGGTTGGGGGTTCGAATCTCTTCTGACTTAGTTGACCTTAAAGAGGCGGTGCTGGAATTGTTAGACACATCAGTAGTGGCTATATATATATATATATATATTATATATATATATATATGACTTCAGAAAAAAAAGTAAGTATCATTGGCTTTTCGGAATGTGATAATACATTTCACAATAAAAATATCAAATTTCATATTAAATATTCAATTTATTCCAATAATTTGATTGTAACAAATACTTATTTGAATTTATTAGTTTAAATATTTTGTTTGGGGAAATAATGATTGGATTGACAGGTGTATACAATTTCAAGAATATAAATTTTTTTGTTAAATAAGAAAATGTTTCTAATATTATCGTTGATGTGTGTTGGAAGATTGGTGGCAGTAGAGTAATAATTTTTTGTCTTAGTCTTGCATGAAGATTCAACACACACTCAGATAAAAGAAAGCAATAAGTAGAGACATCAGAAGTTTTTACGTGAAAAATTCAAAAAGAGAAAAAACCACGAGGCTTAGTTTAATTATACAAATCTATAATAAGTTAATGATTATAGAGACCCCTTGTCCCTCAAGCGGGAAAGTGTTACAAATTCTTTCGAATTACAATGTTGACATGTGGATGAACTTGTTGCAAGGAGCGGGCTAGAGAAAATGTTGAAGCAGATAAGCGCAGTTCAGTTGGTAGGGGCTTTTTGCTTCACGCGGTGGGTGTACGTTCTATCCAGCGCAATGCAAGTTTTTTACTTCTTTTTTCTTAATAGCGGGCTAGATATTGAGTCGCTTTCTCGCTGCCAGTAGTGGGCTTGGGAACCGTGTTACTCCAGGGCCTGATGGGCCTATGTGGGTAGGTGAAATAGGTCGCGGAGTTTGGACTAGCGACAAAGAATCGAACTGAGATGAGCTAGACCGCGGGAGTCAGATCGTATCAAGGAGATGGACTGGCCTGAGATTTGGCTTGAAAATAATGGACCATAAGTCGGAAGGCCAAAAGCGAAAGGTGGCAGATAGGGGGCTGAAGGTCATAAGGTCAAGAGAATTAATGCATATTTCATTTTTTTTTAAATGACTAGAATTAATTTTTGTCATAAATACGTATAGTTTTTTTTGAGTTATAAATAGGCAATAAGAATATGGTGGAGATGGAGTCCCCATATCGGCCTAACATATGATCTAAGATTTCCTAGAAGAAGAAAGTCATCCCGGCCTGCGTAGCAAACGACCAACGAGATCCTCTTTCGTGTTGTTGTGAAGGAGAAAGCCATCCCCATCGTGCTAGCAAGCGACCAACAAGATCTTCTTTCGCATTGCGGTGCATGAGAAAGTTGTCCCCTTCTTCCATAGCAAGAGAGCAATGCAATCTTATTTTTAATTGAAGTGCAGGAGAAAGTCATTCCCGTTATAGATAGCAAACGAGCAACGATTACTTATTTCAGTTTGTGATGCAGGAGAATTTATATGAAAGTGTTTTACTAAAATAAGATAATTTGGAGTTGTACTTCTCATTCGAGAACTCTGATGATTTTCTTCTGGTTCCTATCACCTCGTTCTTATAAGTAGCGACCAAAGTGACCTTGACAACGACCAACAGTTGTTGCTCGATGGTGGTCAGCAGTGGTCAATGGCGCTACGAGTGATGTGGAACTTCAGTTTTTTCTCAAACCTTCAAGCTCTTTCTCTAGCTTCAAGTTTTTCTCCCCTCTCATGAGAGGGATGATGCTCTATTTATATAGTTCAGGGTGCAATTAATGCAGAAATATGAACCATTTTGATCGGACGGCTTAGAAGGCTTCCCTCAAGCAAACAGTAATTAATGGACATTTGAGTACCTTAACAATGTCAGAATTGATGGATCTTGGACTTGCTGGATTAGTCTTGTCGAAACACTCAATTCAATTTTGTGGTCATTAGATTAGTCATCTATTGGCTTTCTAAATATGTCCGTAAAACTTTCAAGAGTGATTTAATGACTTTATCTGAGCTTAATTGACTCAGATTAGACTAATTTTGATATCACTGGGTTCATCTCGTTGAGCCGGTTAGTTTGAGTGTAAGATTGCTGAAATAAGAGATCTGGATGATTTTTTATCGAGGTTTAAATATTTTTTACTAAAAAAATTGCCTCCAGATTCATGACCGATGATGAAAATTTATTGGAGCCGTATCAATCTTGTATTTCAAATATTTAATTTGAAAGATTTTTTGCTATTCTTCCGTCTAAAATTTGATATGAAATTTAAGTTAAGTATTGCACTAGTCCCCACAAAGTATTTTAAGCTGCGTCTTTAAGGATTATTTTTATGCAATAAAATAAACATATACATTTAGTTTTTTTTTTTTTAATCCGGATTTATGTATTTCTAAAAATAATTAGCATACCAATTAAATTTTTTGTATATTATAATTATTATCATCGATTTAAAATCAATTATAAGTATTAATTAAGAAAATAGAATAAAAATTGTTAAATAGATTTAAATGATGTTTTAATATAAACAATAATTTTTAAATTTTGCCCCAATCCTTAACATCTTATGACTACCTGATTAGGGTTGTCAAAACTACTTTTTGTTCGTGAACGGCTCGTGTTCGGCTCGCTAATCAAATGAGCTAAACACGAACACACATTTTGAGCTCGAAATAGTTCTAAGTACAATCATATTACATTCTATTTATTTGGATGTTATGTTACTTAGTAAGAAATATAATTATATTGTTCATACGTAATATTTTTTCTCAATAAATTTTCAAAAAAGACCTTCAACACTTACTGACTAATTCAATATAAATGCTCGCTATACATACTTTGATTATTGTTGAATTTTTATACATTGCTTTTTGATAATATTTTTATACATATATGCCCCCAAACAATCTAAATCTAACATTATCCCTTTTGCATGACCAAAAACGAGTTCCCCTGCAATCTTCCATTTATATGTTTTTCTTTCTATAATAACTAATGTTAAGAAAAAGACCCGTTAAACATTTTTGAGGTTCCATAATCCATTAATAAATTTTTATTATTTGGCATGAATCTTGAGACATGAAAAATCTCAAGGTAATTTTTGGACTTTAAGTCATTCACATTACTGATTTCAGCAAACTTACACTCAAACTAATCAAATCGACAAGACAGACCAAACAGAGTCAAATAAAGCCCGTATCAAGCCGTTAAATTAATTTTGAATGCTTTCAGTGCATAATTGAAAGGTTAAACAAATTTTAAATCAGACATAGCTATAGTCAAATCAACCTTATCGTCAAAACAAATCCGATGAACTCAATATCACTAAATTCCGACAACATTAAGGTACTTAAATGTCATTCTAACACCTTCCAATTAGAGGAACCTCTCCGTGTCATTCGATGTAGTGATCTGAATTTCTTTCTTATTTGCAAACCGGATTTTGTAAATAGAGCCCAATCCCCCCTCTTGAAATGGGATCTAGATAATGAGCAGAAAGAAGACTAAAGCTTGGAGGAGGAGCTAAAATACAATATCGCGTCTCGAATGCAGATTTGGAGAATACCTCTGTTGACCTCACTTTTGGTTAAGGTCTAATTTCTTCTTTAGAAGCCTATGATCTAGCCAATACTAGTAAATGAACCCTCACCATTAGAAATTCTAAAACTCTTCTTTGCTCATCTTGAAGTTCCACATGTTGGTTCTAACTTCTAGCACTTAGTAGGTGGAGCCAATATAGGGGAGCTCAAGATGACTGTTTGGCCTTATGTTTGGCCTTAGGGTTAGCCCTGGGTGGTGTGGTCTTGGTCAGCCTCGCACACACACACTTGATACCCTTCACATTCACTCACAACCTCAACCCTCAACCAAACATGCCTAGCTTGATCCCTTACTCTATTGGAAACTCATGTGGATGGTCCCCTAAACCATTAGCCATGGGCTAGGGTTTGGCTAAGACCAGCACATTGAGGATCCATAATGAGAGTTCTCTTGGTCTCATGGCTCAAAATGGGTAATTTTGTGATTAGCATCCTCAATTGATCTCATCCTACCCAAATACCCAATTTAGCTTTTTGCCCCCAAACTTTCTCAAAACTACCAAATTGCCCCTGAAATCCTAAATTTTCTCAAATTACCCAAACTACCCAATTTTGTTAAAAAATCATCTCAAACTCTTTCAAACCATCCAAATTGTCCAAAACACTCCAAAATTTCCAAAATACCCTTAAAATTGCCAAAATTACCAAAATGCCCTTGGTGGCCCAAATTTTCCCAAAATC